TCTCTCTCTCTCTCTCTCTCTCTCTCTCGTTTATCTTTTATCTATCGACGTTCCGTTTCGCGAATCTCGCGTTTGTCTGCACGATGACGCGCAGATGGATTAACCGTTCGGACGATCGATAGTTCTCGAACGTCCGATCTACGTGATTACATGCATTTTTGTGACGTTAGACGTAATCGTTCTGTCGCGATGTATACATGTACCTATGATAATTAGTCCTTTCTTCTACGGGGAATTTGATTACTTTGCTACGAAAATAAACGTCTTTGTTTCGTAACGAAATAGTAACGATTCTTCTGGAAAGAAGCAAAAAAGAAATTCTAATGAAAAGAAATACAAGCGAAAGATCTTCAATTTACCACTCTCCTACCACTCGTAAGCGAGTCAAGTTATTCAAAAACAGTTAATTAAAAATTGAAATTAAAAATTATTGAAATTTCGTCTTGCTTGGACAAGACGCGATTAAATTATGCGAGCGTAAGGATGGTTAGGTTTAGATTATCTAAGAAAAGGAAAAAAAGAGGACGGAAAAACATCTGCGTTCAGCGTAATTTTGTTCAGGCAATTCTTGCGGATGAAATAAAAAAGAAGAGAAAAACACGATTCGCACAAGGACGCGAGACTAGAGATTTTTTTACGCTCGGAGCAGGTGGGACAGTAACATTGCCAAGTATTGAATGTAAATACGATACGAGCACCGATTCGAATCAACCGTGCGACTCGTCAAACCGTGACATCACAGTTCACTTTCCATTTTATCGGAGCGTGAAAGATCCGCGTCGTTCTTCTCACGGTTAAACGCGATACACCGCGATTATTTCTTTGCTTTTTTCCTTTTTTTCTTTCTTTTCCCTTTCCGTACGATAAAGTTAAAGAAGGATGTGCGAGTGGGGGCGTTTACAAGATACAGATGTTTTTATTTAAAAAATAAGAAAGAACAAGTTACAAACAGAAACTTAACGAAGCCGAGCCACGGCGAGCCACTTGACGCGGCGAAGCGTGGATAAAAAGGAAGCGGAATCGCAGAGATCGCAGAGATCGCAACGACGTTGATCAACGACGGTGATGCGAGTTGTAATCGGGGTGAGAGGGTTGAAAGTGGGCTGCTTGGTCGTCGCCTGGTTCCTGGTTCACCGTGTAAGAGGAACTGTAGCTTTCCGATTGGTGGTGGCTCAGGCCACCTTGATCCCCGCCGTGATCACCGTATCCGGCGACTCCGATAGCACCCTCGGAGTGGCTGCTGGCCTGATACGGGAACGGGTGTGGTACCGGGTAAAAGACTGGCTTGTTCACCGTTACCGGATGAGGAACCGGAATCGGCTGCGGCACCGGGACTGCCTTTGGCACCGGTATTGCTATTTGTTGGTGAATCGCGACCGGGACCGGCTTGGACACCTCGATCGGCACGTGTTCCTGGACTTTCACTAACTTCGTATACGGGACGGCGATCGGATGGTTTACCGGCACCGGCACCGGTATGTGATGGGGCACCTATCGAAGAGAAAGGAATTCTAGATAAATCTCGCGAAAGCGGAAACCGGGTCGTCGTTTAGCTCATCGAGCACTCGCTGACTCGCATTGTAAGATCGATTGTAAGATCGAACGTTATTTCAATTGTTTTTTTTTTTTTTTTTTTTT